CATAGCTTTCCCATTATCGTCGACGGGTTACGCGCCACGCGCGCCAGAGAGAGAGTGCTTCGCTCCAGATTCTATCCGCCGGCGGGCCGATACCGCGTTTAACGTCTGACCCGCATTCCGTCAAGCAGCTTGAAATTTCGCTCTGTCCGCACCACGTCTCTGTCTCTTCTTCCGCATCGCCTCCTGGCACGCAGCAGCCGGTTTGGCCGCGCCTCTCACGTCTCCGCTCTTCCATCTCTCGCTACGACCGCACGGCGGAATATCTTTGTGCGTTCGTGGACGGCGTCCCCGAAAATATTGTTATTCCGCAGCCGAAGAGACGTTCCACGAGCATACGTGACGGACCTTGCGATGCGAACGGTGCCACCATGCTAAATCTTTCCTTGTGCTCGCTCAACGCAGAGTACCTTAATGGAGCACGGACAGACTGATGACTCCGGTTAGAATATATTGCCTGAAGAAATACCTCTTGAAATTGCGACGCGTTGCATGCCACTCTGCACTTTCGTGAACGATTTGTCTAAGTCAAAAGTTTTACATACGATAAAAATTATGCTTATTACAGTTTTTCGAATTTCCCTTCTTTGCGTTAATAAATATAGACGATACTAATGCGTATCAATTTTCAATGCTTTTAACGTTGATTTAACATTGTTGATGAAAAATAGTACGAATGGGAGAGAAAAGTCAGATTTTTACAAAATATATTGGCATGATATATCAACGAAAGTAAATTTTATTGATAACGTGAACGTAATTTAATAACGTTCAATAAAAAAATCTATTTGTCTCGTTGTTTTGAAGCAGAAAAAAATAAAAAAGTTAGAATTAAACTAAAGGGAATTTTCAAGCGTGTTAATATTAAATAAAATTACATTTTTTTCTCTATGTTTATTATTAATACATTTTTGTTTTGGCTTATTTAAATCGATCTCTCTGTAAATCCATAGAAAATAAATCGGTATCCTAAATTTTTAGAAAAAATAAGAAAATAGTAGAATATTAAATGATAATTAAATACACGTCTTAAAATAAAGTCTTATTTTCTCTACGTACATTACGCTTTATTTTGGATGCACTTTAGCTGGCGCCAGAAAGAAGAAATCCGATAAGAACGTCGTTACATGACGCCGCTTAATAGAATGTGATCGGGATAAAGCTCGCACTATCTCCTACATCTCGTTGATTTATGTCACGTTGATATAACAAGAGAATAACAATATAATTGCACTCAAATGTGTATACGTAATTATCAATAACGAGCGTATACGTTTGTTCATCAGATATCAAGACGTTAAATATTTTGATTATACATGTCGCATGTTGAATGTCACTTTGTAACGCTTTAATGCAATAGCGCGCGGTAAGACGCTACGCAATATCATCATAAAATTAGCACATCCTACACAGTTATTTCTCATAGTCTCAAGTCTTGTAAGTTAAAGTATGTTAAAAATCTATTTTTAAATCATTTGTTTTCTGTCCTGAAACTTCAACGAGCACTGCATCTTCTCGGCAGTATACCTGTTTTTTCTGCGCGTAGTCAGAAGAATTATCAGTTTAAGTGCTTATAAGTAAAAATAGATCTTTTTCCAGTGGTATCATTAATTATATAATTTTTTTTTTTTATTATTCTATTTCTAAAACTATTTCTGTTTTACGCAAAGAATTTTCTTGTACAAAAATCTCTCTAATAACAGTATAATTTATCCGATACATCAGAGGTATTTGAGTTATATTATGAGTTATTGTGTGTCTAAGAACATTTACAAAAATAGATTCTGTTTTGATAAATAGTGTCATTAATCATAAAATTTGACATCATTGCGTTTTTTAAACGAGAAACATTGTGACGTTTTTTGTGTTTTATAAATGCGAGGAATGTTATCTTTTAATACATTTCTGATAACGCAAAACTTATCTAAAACATCAGATATTTAATACATTTATAACTGCAGATTACATAATTTTTTACGACTATAACAGCTTACGTGCTCACATAATTAATGTTGCATGAATTATTTATATTGTAACAAATATAAGAGTGCCATTCAAAGTAATATCTGCAATTAGCATCTAAAACTTTTAATCCGCACTTGATTAAACCAGGAAAATGTGGATCACGTGATATTACCTTGAAATTTAATTCTGTTAAGTGGAATGACAATTCAATATATTGGTCACTTGATCGACATTGTCGGAATATTACCGTACACACACGAGCGTTGGTCGTTGTGTTGCTAGCACAAATTATCTTGAAATTTTGACCTCGTCTCTCGTAGATAAAAACGATTCACGCCTCGACAGTAACTTTCTCTTTCGACAATCATTGGAACGCTGCATCTACTTCAACAAACGCGACGGACGCCATGCAATGCAATTTAAAAGCAAGGCAAACCATTCTAATGTATTCACAAAAACTCGTTAAAGCAGCGATTACTTTAATTTAACATAAATTATATATGTATCATATCAATCAGTGGTTTGCACACAAGAAGACGAAACTCATACAGAACCGACAGTTAGCAATCGGTCATAGACAAGCAGTTATCGCATTTCCGCGTCTTTCAATTTTTGTTGAATTACAGATTTCGCAAGTGAATACTCATAGTTTCCTCTCAATCTTTTGGCACGCGAGATAAAGTTTGGCAACTTGAAGCTAATTATGAATAATTTACCTATTTGTTATACTCCACAAGACGAGTCATCACGTTTCTCACACATTTACGACGGTCATCGTCAGCAATTATCATCTTGTTATAGTAATGACGTAGTAATGTCAAGGACGCAAGGCACAAAGGCATATACTTAATTGAAGGGTCCGACATGTTGGGCATTATTTAAACATAGCAAACATATCATTTAAAAGTCAACCGATAATAAAAAATATGTTACACGTGTGGATATTATCGCCTAATAACAGTTAAACGGTCAAATGATAATTTATTTGGTGTCAGCGAGTCATTGTAGGGTTCGCTGTACCCCATTTCCATTCTTCTGCGTTCATTGACATGTTTGTTAGCTTCGGCGTAGCTTCTTAAAGACTATATAACCATCCACTGATTCTATTGCGAAAGTAATATGTCGTAAGAATTTTGATAAGAAGCGTCGTGGTAATGTTGACTGATGACAGTGGTACAATAATTAAAATTATTCTTAATGTTGACTCTGTACTGGTCAGTTGATTCTGCAAGTTTGTGAAGTACAAAGAAATTATTCGGATATGCACGTCCTGTGTTTGTAAATTTGAAGAAAACACTGTGAATTAGTGATTCTCTCAAGAGATTTCTCCGATATCGGTATGAATTATTTTATCAATTAATGATTGAAGATAAAAGAAACGTTAAAATGAAATATTTATGCAAACCCGAGATTTTTTAAAATTTGTGTTATCATACGCGCGTAATTAACGATATCAAAATTTGATAATAATGTGATAGATTTATGATATAATGACTGTGAGATTAATTTTTAACATGGCAATATTGCAGAGAAAATAAACTTGGTGTAGAACAAAACCATTGCAACCACATCTTTTAGTCAGTGAAGTCAAGTTGAAGTATTCCGTAAGCAACGTAGCAGATAGAATTTTTTGTAGATTCAAAGCAATTAGTTAAATGTAAAGTCAATCGTAATTAAAATAATGTTATAAGATTATTAATTAATGACATAAAATCGTTTTTCAAATATATAGAATGTTTTTTAAAACTCCAGCACTTAAAATATCTTTATTGTTTTTAATGATAAAATATAATCAAAAAGAGAAACATGTTCGTTTCAAAAAGACATTATGATAAGCACAAAGTTTTCTCAAGTTCATATTTCTTTGAATTTTAATATCATTGCCATTTTTAAATGGAATTATATGATTTTTTTACATAATATGATTTCTATGTGTATAAAAATATTAAGGTAGAAGAAATCAATAATCTATGAGACATTTTATATTTTGTTCTGACACATTTGACTTAAATTATTCAGCAATTCCGACAGATATGTACGTAAAAAAGTATTGTGATAATATGTGATATCGTCATTGACGGTTGCACATACAAACTATTATTTGAATACCAAAAATAACTGTTATCATCAATACCATAACACCCTCTTAAAACTATAATGTCGAGTTTGCATGTAACATATAATCAGTATAATAGTACAATAATACCGATAAGGAATCGGTTTATTCCACAAGTTGAGCCATCGAGTAGTTTTCCACTTTTAAATAAATGTATTACTTAAAATATTATTTCAAGAATATATTACAAATTTAAAATTGAGAACGATGATAGAAAACAATTAATAACGATCGCAAAATCTTCACGCTATCACAGATTGATTAGATATGAAAATATTATATTGACTAAAAATTTGTTAAATTATCAGATAAATATAATCAAAATTAAATTTGAATTAAAAATTAACTAGATCTATAAATAAAATTATGATTTTAAAATGTAATAACTTACTAGTAATCTTAATAATTTTATCCAAATACATTATGTAATCATATTTTGATTTCGTATCATATAAGATAAATATCTACATCTTTTTAAAGAAGGAAAAATGTAACTACATATATTATGAAATATCTTTCAATTCTTTTTTTTTTTATTTATCTCATTTACATTTGTGCAACTATTTAATTTATGCAACTAATGGTTGCGTTTAGGAGATAAAATCACTCAATGAGCGCTCAGTGATTTTTTAATATGTTTTTAAATATAATTATTCTTGCCAGTTTATTGCTGAATGTAAGTGTAGCAATTGTAATAAAAGACTTACTAAGCGCTCACTACGCAGCTTTATCTTCTGACCGCAGTCTATATCATTCTGACAGTATTATTTATTACTTCTTATTTCTTAGTGAAAAATAACCGCAAAATTATTTATTCGATCAAGAAATTTCAAGCAAAAATTAATCGATAATGATTATATTAACACACATTGCTCTGACCACAAGGTCAAGCATATTTATACTTATAATTATTTGTAGGCAACAACTATTTATAGGCTCTCGATTATGGTCGTCGCTAATTGATAACGTAATCGCCTTATACGAAACGCTTTTTCCGGACGAGCTTCATGTCTTGAGGAGAGGAATTTACTGGTCTAAGGGAATTCACGCGGGAAAAGTCGAGCGTGAGTGACTGATCGCGAGTGACGATCGTGCGAGTGACTGTGTCGCGTGCAAGGGCAACCGCAAATTTCGTTAAGTACTACAAAGTCTACTTGGAAGAATCGTCCAATCTCCTACATTTAAGTTGGAGAACGGAAAAGTCAGTCGTTCTCGTCAGCTCACCGGAGACATTAGACAGCAAAGGTTCGCGCAGCCGCTCTCCCACTTTTTGCGATCGAAACCAATGCACCAGCAGATTTATCAATCATCGACACACAAGCTATCCGTTTGTCATTCGTCGTGATATGCCATTGTGATCGAGAGAATTTATTCTTCAAGCGCGCTGCATAATTATAGCTAATATTAAGGTATTGCTTTTTATGTCAGTAATAAGCTTTGTGTCGTCTAAATTAAAAGATTTAGTCTCTAACTGTGCTTGATAAATAAATTTGAATTTAATGACAATTAATTAGATTCTAATTAATTAAAATTAATCAGAATATAAAATTTCATTAATTATTATAGCAATCTATTTTTATTTTTTTTTTTTTATAAGTATTTCAATGTTAACATTTAATCATATTTTATGTACAAAAAAAAAGGATTTTATTGAAGTATCAAAAAATTTAGCTATATAATTTATTGGGTCACATAATTACATAGGATTCTGAAGCATAACGAATAATTCTACAAAAAATTTTGACACTAGCAGTTTGAGCGTCTTACATAACCATTTGGATGGTCCAACAAAATTATTTTCAGATCAGTAGCTAGCTAAATTTTTAGATACTCCAGCAAAACCGTTCTTTCCGTGCACAATATACTTTCCTATAAAATTACTGAGGAATTTAATTTCTCTCTCTATTGCACGACCAAAATTGATACTCTAATTTTTAAATTTCTTAACAGATTGAACAATTAGATCAAAGTGCATAGTAAAAATATAGGTATACTTTTCTTATAGTCAACAATTTACTGTGATATGCGTCACGCGAAAACGTCAATAATTTGCAACATGATTATGACAGCATACGGAAAAAAGTAGCTATTGCATTGCAGATATAATCAACAAGCAAGCTACATCACTTGCAAAAAACCGGTTACTATAATATTGCAGTGGCCCGCTTCTTTTGCGAGTAAAATAGGTTTCTTTAAGTAATGCAAATAATT